CTACATGAAACATTTAAAACACATCTGGCTGGAACAAAACATTGCTTCTGGGGAAATGCACACAAAGATCAAATTAGAACTGCCAAAAAAGACTCCTTTTAAATCCATCCTTCCTCATCTGAAGAAAAATGTTAGTATTCTAGGCTCATCTGTCTTCTACTTGAATGACTCCACAATCTGGAACTGAAGTCAGGGAATGAATATCCATTTCCTAAGAGGCCCATTTAGTAAAGACAATCAGAAAGAAGAGAGAATTGCTTGGGGGAAGAGAGGCAATGAGAAGAAAAATTGGCAACTGACAAGACTAACTAGATCATTCATTTAGCCCCAAAGAAAGCAGCAAGGAAAATTACTTTAGAGTGAACCCCTCTTCATTTTGCATGTCCCACATAGCAAACACAAAAAGCATTCTTTTAAGTGAACCAAACAAAAAGGTTATTTAAAATGTATGATTTAATCCAGAAGTTAAAAGTATCTATTCATTCTGCAAAGATTTAAAAAGGGACATTACTCAAAATCTAAGTTCATTCCACCTTTTGCCTGATTCTCCTTTACTCAGGGGTTACACTTTCTCTCTTCAGGCATGCTATTATTTCCCTTCTCTTTTTTGTGTAAAGATGAAAGTCCATTCCTTTGCCTAAAAACACCAAATAAATATTTCCACTCCCTTCCCACTGGATGAAATTAATAGGCATTTATATTTCACTAAAATGTCTTTCTTCACTGCTCTCCCTAAAAATAATTAGAATGCAGCCAGTATCGGTTATCATATACATGCACAAATGGCATCCAAAATATCTGGGTTAGATATTTTGATAATACGTGAGAAAAAAGAAAAGAGGAGGTTAGAAGTCAAAAGCTCAGTTTTACTTTTGACTACACCATTTACTTATCATGTGACCTTAGGTATATCACACCTTTTCTGGGCCTTAATTTCCCCATTTATAAAATAAAGATAATAACACCATCCCTTCTCTCTTCAGAGTTAAGAAGCTAAAAAGATGAAATATGTAAAAGCACTAGGAATGCCGCAAAGGATACACAAATGTAAGCCATTACTGTTGATCATTTTATCTGGACAGATCTCCCCTTTTTACAAACACAGATCATGAACATTACTCAGTCAAAACACTCCTCTCTGCTTTGCCTCTACCTTGTATGACAGACATAACTAATCGTCACAACAAAATTACACTAGGTTTCAGTAGGGAAACAAGTCAATCCTCTATCAAACTTGTTTCATTCTAGCCCTGGACGGTTTGGCTCAGTGGTTAGTGTGTTGGCCTGAGGACTGAAGGGTCTTGGGTTTGATTCTGGTCAAGAGCATGAAATAAAAAAAATAAAAACTTGTTTCATTCTAAAAACCTAAAATTAAAGGCAAACTATAGATTTATTAAAGTTTCTTCCTGAAAAGCTAAATAGAGCAATTTACTTTTCCAGAAGCCTGTCTGTAAAATAGCTCTTGCTCTCTTCTTACAGGCCTAGTTTCTCGACATTAATTATCATCGGAAATAATTTAAACTTGCAGCAGCTATAGTTCATATTCAAAAAATAGATCTTGCCCAGGATGAAAGTAGATATCAGAGTTTAGGCTATTACATCCCACCCTAAAACTCAAAAATCATCTAATATTAAGTCTAGAAAGGATTACTTAACCCATAGAATATTTTTGGAAGGCCCCCTAACAAACTTACCAATGAATGAACTAGGTGACATGGAGACAATGAAAAAAGACATAATCTTCACTTAATATCATTTTGTATCTTTTGAAATTTGAACCACATGCAGCTCAAATATACATATTTGTTATTTTATTAATTCATTATAAATCACTGAGAGAATCTAAAGAAGCCCTCATTTTCCAGAAGAGAAAACTGAAGCCAAAGAAGGAGATGAGCTGCTCAAGATCACACTGCTAGAGAGAGAAAAGGCTGGACTGGAACTCAGGAACCCAGTAGAAGCTTCCAGCATTTCCCCTTACCACAATGCCATGTGGTAAAACAGCAAGTGCCATCTTACACAAAATAAAAGTATTGCTGTAATCCTTTTCAGAACTGTGGTCCCCCAGAGGTCCCAAGACTCGTGACATAGTGCTCATCATGGATGTTTTCACAGAAGTTCTAAGGCAAAGGGACAGAGATGACAATCCCATTATCAAGAGTCATACCAAGTAGTGTGTGAATAAAGACAGCATATCCATTAGGCAAAGTGAATTTAAGCCTAACCAGGCCAGGAAAAAGTTGAAGCTTTCACTGTTACTAACAGTAAGGATGTCTGAGGAGACAGAATAGAGTTACTAGTATAAAGAACTTGTTTCTAGTGAGTTGACTCAGAAGAAATAAAGCAAAAGCAGGTGGCAGGAAATTCGAGTTTCAAAGAAGCTTTAGTTCCACTGTGGAACTACTCTCGAACAGGAGAATTAAGGGGATTATCAAGGCCCTTTCGAGTCCTAAAAAACCCTCAAAGACAAAGAAACAAGGCAGCTACCACTCCTCCTCTGAGCAATTCTTTCCCTCTTAGTAAGAAAAAAACACCTTTTCTTTAAATGGGCACAAATGCAGGGGAACAACAGAGTTTCCATAGGAAGGAGCAAGAAGCCAGAAGTGAAAACTATTCCAAAAACGCCTGAGTCTGTCTGCTGAGACAGAAGGGTCTTGGAAGAAAGGAAATTTATTACAGGGGTTATTCTTTCCTTTCTAGGTCTGCATGTAGCCTTCATGGTTGGAGAAATACATACACATTAGACATTATAAGGCTGTACCTTTTGATATTTGCCAGTCATGTATTAGTTAATCTAAGTATTTTTAAACACTGGGTAAGCCTGCCAACAATTAGTTGATTTGATGAAACATTTAAAAAAGGGAGAATATGAAAGGATAACATCCTGGTCAAGCTATAACCTCCAGCCACTACTACTGCTCATGTTTCTAAAGAGAAATCATGGCATATGGATATACCACAAAGATTTTCTTAGTCAACTCTGGGTCACAAGGTCACATCACCCTGAAAAGTCTCTCTCACCACACCTTCAATTCTTGATCAGGAACAAAAGGCCAGAGAGCTCAAATTATAGCACCAGCCAATCACTGTCATCTCTAGGGAATCTAAAATATCAAATGCCTAGCATCATCAAAGGTCCTCAGAGTATTGTTTCAAATTCCATCTCCAATTTTCACTAAATATTTCAGACATAGGAAAAATATTTGAAGTTTATTTTTAATAATGTTTCTACTTTGTTGAAAGGAAATCTGCCTCATAGTAAAACACATAATTCAAAGAAGAAAAAAATCATGGGAAAATTAGAAGTCAAATATTATACTTCACATTGAAAGGTATTAATGCCAAAAACTCTATCCATGTATTTCATGAAAAACATTAAACACACAATCTGGAGCCAAAAAAGCAAGAGACATTCCACTCCCTCTCAACAACAAATGAGTTAAACAGTAATAGAGGCTGCACTAATATTACCTAGGGCAGGAGAAACATTTGGTAACTCATATTCCCCTTTGATGTCAATTTCTAAATTAAAGAGCTGGTTTCTTTGGGAAGAAAAAGAGGGGAGAAGTTTAAAATTATCCTTTTAAACTTCAGATCCAATAAATTAACCATTCTCAATTTCAAAGTCAATTCCATTTTTTCCAGAAAAAAAAAATCATGAGTCATATCAAACATCTGGTACCTGTGAAATTTACTGCCTTAAATTTATTCAATTAAGATTTACTGAGTGCCTACAACTGAACAAATACCATCTGAATTCAACAAAGACGCTCAATTTTAACTTTACCTCCTCCTAGCACCTCCATATTTAGCCTTGTAAATGTAGATCATTGTTCTCCTGACCTCAAAAAAAAAGTGCAGTGAACAGATTTCAGAGAGCACAGTTATCACATAAAGAAAACCTAATGGGGAACAAAAGAAAAAAAGAAAATCTAATGAAAGAGGAAAATGAGTGCCTCCTGTGTGACAAGGTTTTTTGTTTGTGAGTTTTTTAAATCCTCACTGGAGGATATTTTTTCCATTGATTTATTGAAAAACAGGGAGGGAGGGAGGGAGGGAAACACCGATTGGTTTCCTCCAGCACGTGCCCACCAGGCTGGGAATCTCGGTGCATGGGCGGGAGCGCTAACCACTTAACACCACCGTGGATCAGGGCTCATGATAACGTTTTTAAGTGATTTAGAATTGTTTACATGTCTACTAGTCTAAACACCAGACTAAATCCTTACACACCAAACGTTTGTTTGCCGTGGCATGGAATAAAAAGAGGGGAATACAGTTGGTGTGTACGATTTAAATCTTCAGACAATGCCAAAGTTTTAAACCAACGGCTTCACGCGGCTCCCCATTAACTTTTCATTAACCTGGCAAACAAAAATTGACAGGCTGACATTTTCGGATCGTTTTCATTCTGGCATTGGGAGAAAAAGGGACGAGACCGAGAAAGAGGAGCACAAACAAGGGGTATGGTATGTTGCAAATAAGACGGCCAATCTTGCAAGAGATAATTACTATAAAGCAGATGGAAGCAAAAGAACACTGTTGCATTTTCAGCCCTCGGACTCTGTTCCAGAATTCAGCACTGCCGGCCAAAAGCAACGGCTTTAGAGCAAATTATTAAATACCACCCGCAACCTTCCGCGTCGACGTCCCAGGGAGAGCCTTCATCCACCGAGTTACACCACCCCGAGGCGGTGCGGGCGGCGCCGGGCTAACGCGTTTTGAGAAAGCGAGGCCCTCAGAGGGCAAGACGAGCTAGCGACGGAAACTCCAAGAGTTTCCCGAGCAGGGACTTCAGTGCTCCTGACGCAGGATACTGAGCCGCCGCCCTGGAAAAACGGGGTCCTCTGCGCGCAGGGGCGAGGGGACTCCAAACCAGCCCCTCCCTCCCCGACCTGAGCCCACCGCCCTCTTCCTCAGAGCGCCCAGAAGGGGCAGCCCTGTCTCGCTCCGGCCCTCTTCCCCGCTGAAGACGAGACGAGACACCGCTCCTCTCTGACCTGTCCCCGCGGTGTCCGAGTCGGCAGCGCGACGCCTCCATTCCCGCAGCTCAGAGGGTAGCCAGAACCGCCCAGATTCCCGACTCCGCTGCTAGGGTGGCAAGTCTGGCGCGCCGCCGGGTCCCGCCCCCTGGCAACCGCACCCCTCACTATCGCCACCGCCTATTGGCCTACGGACCAGCCGCTTCTCCCTCATTGGCCCTTGCCGTGCCCGGCGTTGCGGGAGGGTTTCTAAGGGGCGGAGGAACTCGGAGTTAGAGGCGCCTGCGCCCGAGCGAGCGTGACGCGTCAGGGCTGGGCGCCTGGACCACTGTGCCCGCAGGAGCAGAGGATGAGCCTCCAGCGGCGGTGCTCGCTCGCAGCAGCTGGGAAGCGAGTCGGTCAGAGGAGCGGTCCAGCCCCCGCAAGCGGAGCGGTCTCTCCGCGCCCCCACGGTGTGTACAGAGACCACGCGGAGCGCTTCCCGAGGTCTGTAATATTAGAATTTACAGACCTCTGCCGGCTCCCTCACAGCCGACCCTTCCCTGACAGCGGAGACTTCCTGGCAACCGCACTAGTAGCCTCTTCCAGCAGTTATTCCCAATGAAGTGCATCTGCTCTCGCGCTCGAACAGCACAGAGCACCTTCAGCCTCCCCGGAGCATTCCTAGACCAGCTCTACAGACTCTTAAGAATCTTTACCACTCTCTCTACAGCCCGTGGACCATCTTCAAACATCCAAATACCTTAAGGAAATCCTCTATCTAAATCTGTACTCCCGTTGCCAATAAATCTTGTCTCCAACCATCACTTCCTTTCTCACCACCAACTTACATTATAGTTCCTACAAAAACATCCTGGCAAAAGTTATGACACATTGAGTTTAGTTTATAGCATTCCAAGGTCAAAGTTGTTTCCACATTGGTTTTGCATTTCTAATTAGCCTAGAACTTGGCACAAGCTAGGAGAGCAGAGCATTGCACTGGCTGACTCAGCCTACACTCACTGTGACCCTGAAAATAGTTCATTATCTGTGCTTCAAATTCCCATCTATAAAATAAACAGAATAATCCTTGTTTGTCTGGCTCAGCCTGGATCTGACACAGAGTAGGTTCTTAAAGCTGAGTGAATGGAGTTGAATGAGATGCTGTTTGTACTGGTGAAAGGACAATGTAGATATTTTGCTGACTGAGCAGTTCTGTATTAATTACAATAAGTAGTAATATTTTCTGAAAAGTTCCCACATTTATTTTACATACTTTTTAAAAAATCCTCAGGTGAGGATTGATTTTAGAGACAAAGGGAGAGAAACAATTGGTTGCCTCCTGTACTTGCCTCAACTGGGGCTCAAACCTGAATCCTAGGTACCCACAACCTGTGCCCTCACTGGGAATCAAATCCGCAAACTTTTGCTGTATGGGATGATGTTCCAACCAACTGAGCCACCTGGCCAGGGCTATTTACATACATTTTAAACAAGTTACTCCTTTTTAAAATATATTTTTTTATTGATTTTGAGAGAGAGAATCATCAACATGAGAGGGAAACATTGATTATCTGTCTCCTGCAAGCCCCCTACCAGGGTTTGAGCCCAAAACCCAGGCATGTGCCCTGATTGGGAATTGGACCCGTGACCTTTCAGTGCACGGACTACGCCCAACCAACTGAGCCACACCGAGCAGGGCTATTTACATACATTTTAAACAATTACTCCAAGAAATCATTTTGTCACTTTAATGTTTACAGGTTTCTTTGGTTGGAAATAAAAAAATCAAAACAGCAAACCTAAGTAACTTACCCATGTCCCCTTTATCTCCCCTATTCTATAGTAGCCACTAAAACAGAGCTTGCTGCCCTTTCTTCATCTTGCCCTTCAGCAGAATACCCAAGGTTGCACAAGTAGCAGCTCAACTATAGTCACAGAGTTTGCTTTGATTTTTTTCCCATCCATTGGGTCATAGAGGAAGCTGCCACTGAGCCCGGCAGAGTTAGTACTCAAAAATGTGGAATGAATTAGTTTGAATGAGGTGATTAAAGGATTAATGAGTAGTGGTTAAAGCAAACAATTAAGAAAGACCTTTAGTGGAGGAGGCAGTGTTGCTGCATTATTGGCAGTCAGAAGCAGGGTTCTCTAAAAACTTTCTGCAACCATTTATTTACACATGTTTTAAATAGTTACAAGATATTTTAAAATTTTAAACAGTTAATACAAGAAAAATATAAAGTGAACTGTTTATGACACTAAAAACTGTTTATGATACTTTAAAAAGCAAATCTGGGAACTAAATTCCCTTATGACTCCAGGCTCTGGTAAAAATACCTTTTCCTATTGATGTTATTGGTCTTATTTCCATTTTATTCTATTGATGAACTCTTCTGTGAGCCAGAGAAGTAACTTTAGCAACTCTATGAACACCAGCAATCAATTTCTTGAGATTACTGATGTCTGAGAAATCCAGTCAGTTTTTCACAAGGAACTGGCTTTTGCTCAGCTTCCCTCTCTCCCTGAGGTAAGTAAACAGGTGCCGTCGTCTCCTCCACGTGACCTTTACGCCGTACTTCTCCTCAGGAGTGTCTTTAACCAAAACAGGCCCAGGCTCTGGGCTCTCAGGAGTACTAGTGTGAAGGGAGCAGCTTGGCAGGCTGTTTGCCCTCTGATCTAGGGGAACGAGCACCCGCTTCTCAGATGACTCTGGGGTCTGGATATCAGGTGCAATGAACATATAAGGTAAGTTCTGAAATACATATGCTGACAGTTCCCCACCGCTTGGGGGACTGAGCATTGGAACTAAGGTTCTTTGGGAAACGTCCTTTTCTGAATGATTGGGGCACTCTTGGATTAAGGGGCTTCCGAGCGTGGCTGAACTGGAAGACTGTGGACTCTGAAATGTTAGATGTGGAAACTTGGAGGTGGTAGATTTTCGACTTGAATGTCTTGCCTGGCCTTGGTGATGATGTTTCCCTTTCCTGTTGGCTGGGAACCAGCTTTCTGCTGTTGTATCAAACTGAGGTGATACCTAAAGATGAGAAGAAAAAAAAAGTGAGCTCCCCACCCAACAACTCAAGATGGAAATATGACAGGGGTGGGACATGGAAGAAAAAGGAGGGATGGAAGGCTGCACTTGTGTGGGGACAGGGGGCATATGGGAAATCTGCGCTTTCCACTCAATTTTGCTGTGAACCTAAAACTGCTCTAAAAATAAATTATATTTAAAAATTAGAAAATTATTTTTTTTAAAAAGGTGAGGACAGCCACATACCAAAGGGAGGAAACTATATCCAATGACCAGAGACTAGAATCCTAAATGGGACCCACTATTGTAAGGGACACAAAACAAAAATACCTGTCTAATAGGATATTAATAGAAAGGGATATGAGCTTTGGGCAATCTATTCAATCTCTCTGGCTTTCAGTTTCCTCACGTAAGAAAGGGGACAATGCCTCTTTTTCTTTATCACACTATACAGCTGCAACTTGTTTAACTATCTTTATACTTTAAAGGCAGAGAGCAGCAGTTTTATTCACCATTGATCCCAGCACCTAGCAGAATGCCTGCACAAAGGCCCCAGTAAAGAATGAATGGCTGGTGCTTGCTTTGGCAGCACATATACTAAAACTGGAATGATACAGAGAAGATAAGCACGGCCCCTGCACAAGGGTGACACGCAAATGTGTGAAGTGTTCCAAGAAAAAGAAAAAAAAAGAATGAATGGCTGAATTGGGAGTGAGATCTTGGATGGAAACAAGTAGCACAGGATCTGGCATGTAATGAGTTCTCAGTAAATGTCCACTTCTCATCCACAGGATTTTAACATTTCAGTTTCTTCTATAACTATAGAGCAAATATTACAGTTCTTCTAAGCAATCCCGAACAATTTATATATATTAAGCACTCCTAAGAAGATTTTATGCTTTTATCTGATCCTTTTACTATGCTACTTCCCAGACATACAGTAACTTTATTCTCTTCCCAGAGCTTTTAAGCTGTCAAAATATGACACAGGCCACTTCTGTGGGGGTTTTTTGAGGTTCAATCTATTAAATAGTAAACAGATTACTTAGCTAAATACCTCTTCCATGAAGCTCAGGAAAAAATCTCCCTTTTTACTAGTTCTGCCATTTATCTGGCTTTCTCACCCAACTACTGGGTAGTGAAACTTTTATACTAAACTCTTTCAGAGGGATGTGGGGGTAAGACTCCAATCCTAACCACCCCAAGTTGAACTTTTCTAAGTTCAGTTTGAAATTAGAAAAGAAGATATACCAGAAGAGATGGCTGACGAAAGACAGAGTATATTGCCTCCTGTCCTTGCCCCCATGAATCTTATTCTCTGGAGGCCCTGGTTTAAGGGACAACAGAATCAGTATTCTGAGAAGCCTAACAGAGTAGAAGTCCAAGTAAGAATCCCATGGCCTACCCAGGAAGTGATGGTGTCCTGGTCAATGGGCTTGCTGGGCACCTGTCTAGTGTGGGTGATGGGAAGCTGTGGTGATCCATAGCGGTGTTTGGGGCCCTCCAGTGGTTGATGGTGGAATAGCAGCTGGGCTTTCCTGGATGTTTGGCCGCGTTTTTTTCTGGGAGGCATCAATAGGTGAATGAAGAGCAGTTAGTAACCACATGGTGCTGGGTGTAGTCAGGTAAGGGGAGAGGCTCCAATTCCAACCCATGCCTGCAGAGAAGAAACAAAAGCTCTTCCTCAGACTCTGGCAGCCAGTTATACTATCAACTTACCATTCCTACCAAAAGCTGTGTGGAGTACTGCTTCCTAACCTACACCATCAAGTTAAAACAGTAGTTCACATTCAACATTTGTTCAATGCACATTTATTGAGCATGGGTTAAGTGCCATGCTGGGTGTTGGGATTTAAAAATGCAAAATCATTTATTGAGTGCCAAGCACTTGTAGGGACTCAGAGGTCAGACTGTCCCTGTTTCAAAGAGCTAAGAGTCCAACAGTGGGAGAGACAATTACAATAATGGGAACAATGCTTCCACTCACGCCAGGGGAGGCTTTCTAGAGAGGGTGACACCTGAAGGGTAAGGAAAAGCCAAAAAAGCAGGGAGGGCACTCCAGGCTGAGGATCAGCACATATAAAGCACAAAGACATGAAGGAGCATGTAAATTCAGGGAATCACAGACCCCATGTAGCTGGACGCTGGGTATGAAAAGATGAATGGCAAGAACTGAGGCTGGACATGGTGTGAGGGTTAAGAAAAACCTGGTGTTCCTGGCCAGTGTGGCTTGTTGTCTGCGCATCATCCTATGCACTGAAAGGTCGCCGGTTAAGTTCCCAGTCAAGGCACGTGCCCAGGTTGCGGGTTCATGTCCCCAGGCGGGTGTGTATGAGAGGCAACCAATCGATGTTTCTCTCTGACATCCATGTTTCTCTCTCTCTCTCTTTCTCTCTCTTTCTCCCCCTTCCTTTCTCTGTAAAATTAATGAAAGGAAAAAGCAAAAGAAAGAAAAACCAAGTGTACCATATGAGTTTGGATTTTAGCCTAAGTGGTCACTGCAAGCAAGAAGATATTATCACACTTGGATTTTTTAAACTTTTCACCCCAGATAATTTTGAACAATCACAAAAGGAGACTAAATAATATAATGAGCCCCATGTAACCATCACTCAGCTCCAACAAGCATCAACCCATGGCCAATCCTGAACCTCACACACCTAACCACATCCCCTGCCCCTGTATTATTTGAATATGATATTCCCAGTCATTATATCATTTCCATTAATATTACCAAATGTTCAGAAATGTTCAAATTTTCAATCATCTCATAAATGTCATAATTGTTTTTTGTTTGCTTTTTGTCTTTTAGACAGATCAGGCAACAATCTAAAAAGAGTAAACAAGTATCCTGAAAGTAGGAGGACCAGTTTTAAGAGGGTACTGTGTTACATAAATGAAAAATGATGACGCCTGAACCTGGGTTGTCAGTGGAGATGGGAATATGGAGACAGAGGCAGGGTCAACAGGACCCAGAAAGTAATCAAGAGTCTGAAAAAGTATCCACTGAATCTGGTAACCAGATCAGTTTTAATACGAGCTTCATCAATGTAATAGTGGAACAGAAGTTCAAACGAAATAGGTAGAGAGGTAAGTGGGAGGTGCAGCTGAGCATCCTAGACCTAGAGCATCACACAACAGGGCAGATTTGTTCCACTATACATTCATGATTCGTTCTTTCAGTCAACAACAAAATAACATACTCTGACTTACGTCACTAGGCAGTGGAGATACAGGTAAAGAAAAGAGAGGGAGCAAGTCTCTACCCTCAAGAAACTAACATTTCTAGGGACAACACAGGTAATCAATACACCTATTTGTTCATTTATTCAACAGATATTTACTGAGTGCCTACTGTGTGCTAAATACTGTTCCAGGTGCTGGAAATACATACCAGAGAACAAAATTAAATCCCTGCACTATGGCACTTACAACCTAGTTGGAAGTGAAAAGAAGGGAGGAGAAACTCAAACAGGATAAGGGATTATGCTGAGTGCTATTTTAGAGCTGTCAGGGGAAGCCTATCTGAAAAAGTGATAATTGAGCAAAGACCTGAATGAAGAAAGAACAAGCAAACAACAGAAAGATATGAGCAGTGCTCATTCCCTCTCTGGGGAGCACGCCCCCTCCTTCTTCCCCACAGGAACGCATCTCCTAAACTCTAGGGGACCCCATGAGACTTGTGACCAGAGGAGCAATGGGAAGCAGCAGCTCGTCCCAGGACTTATCCCCTGAACCTGTCTCCAAGGCCCCTTTTTCTCTGACTTCCCAGTGAGCCAAAGCAGCCCAGCCTAGGCTCTCCTGTTGCTTCTGTGCTAAGCCCTTCCTTATTAAAACTGTCCCCAGCTTTAATAAGTGTCCCATCTGAATGTGTTTTTGCTGCGGCTAATAAATTCCTGCTTGCTTTACTGCAAGAAAAAAAGAAAAAGAAAAAGATGTGAACAAAGAATAGTCCAGGCTTCGAGAATAATAAGTGCATAGACCACAAGGTGGGACTGTGTCTGACTCTTTCAAGAAACAGTAAGGTCAGCCTGGCCAGTGTGGCTCAGTGGTTGAGCATTTACCTATGAACCAGGAGGTCACAGTTTGATTCCCAGCCCAGGTTGTGGGATTGATCCCCAGTAGGGGCCATGCAGGAGGCAGCCAATCACTGACTCTCTCATCACTGATGTTTCCATGTCTCTCTCCCTTTCCCTTCCTCTCTCTCTGAAATCAATAAAAACATTTTTTTTTTTTTTAAAGGGGGGTTTTATAAGCAAGGTTAAGGACTCTGGACTTATTATTCCTAATGTGATAGGAAGCTACTGAAAGGTTCTGGACAGGGAAGTGACATAATCTAATTTATACTTTTTTTTATTGATTGATTTAAAAGGGGGGGTGGGGGGGAGAAACATCAACTTGTTGTTCCACTTATTTATGCATTCATTGTTGATTCTTCTATGTTCCCTGACCGGGGACTGAACTCGAAACCTTGGCATATGGGGAAGACACTCTAATCAACTGAACTACTTCGCCAAGGCTGATTTATACTTTTTAAAAATAACTTGAGACACTTTGTGAGAAAAGGTGGGTTGGGAGAGAGGGTGAGAAGGAAGCAGGAACCCAGTTAGAAGGCTATACTGCAGGAGTCCAGTGGAGAGATGACACTGGTAGCAATGGTTACAATGAGAAGTGTTGAAATTAACCAGCCTCAAACGGACACTCCGTTGTGCAGCAATCCTACTATGTTTATATATCAACTCATTTTCCACAAAAATTAAAATTTTTCCACTTCCTTAAAACTTTAGAACTCTCCTCTCTCAACAAGTGACCTATTTCCTACTTGATAAAGAATACAGGAGACATCAAAGGAAATACATTTTCCAGAAATCATGCAAACCTACATATATCTGCATCCATCCTCCTTCTTTCTTCTGTAAATAGAGGTCAAGTCCCTTTTGCTTTCTAAGGTCTTTCCCTTTGGTTGTGCTTTGGAGCCTTCCTCACTCTCTACACCTTTTTTAGGCAATCATCTGCTCATTTCAATAACCACCTAAATGTGGTTATAAAGACTTAAGTATTTATATATTCAGCTTAGAATTCTCCACTATCAGGACCCATATATCCTGCTGCCTATTTAAGAGCAACTACATGTCTCTAATGCATTTCAAACTTAACATGTTTGAAACCGAATTCATGATCATTTCCCCCGCATCCTCCCGCCACAAAAGTGATTATCTTGCTCAGGGAATGGTATCATCATTAATCCAATTATGCAACCAGAAACCTTGGTATTTCCTCTTCTCCTCTGATGCAATACCTTTTAAATATATCCCTTTCTCCCCTCTGTGTGTCTCTCCCCCTCTCTCCCCACCATCTTTCAAGTTCCAACAATTATGGCACGGATCATTGCAATAGCCTAACTGGTCTACCCTAATCCACTCTGGCACTCCCTGCAGAGACCTTTCAAAAATGCACATCTGGCCCGGCCAGCATAGCCCAGTGGTTGAGCATGACCTGTGATCCAGGACATCTAGGGTTCAATTCCCTGTCAGGGCACAAGCCCAGGTTTCCGGCTGGATCCCCAGTAAGGGGAATGCAGGAGGCAGCCCATCAATGACTCTCTCTTATCACTGATGTTTCTAACTCTCTCTCCCTCTCTCAGAAATCAATAAAGATATATATATTTTAAATGCACATCTGATTTTGACTCACTTCTGCCTAAAATTTTTGAGTTTTGGATAAGGACCAACTCCTCAGTTATGACTATGGTCCCACTTCCTCTGGTTCTAGCTTCAGCTCACACCACGCTATTCAGCCTTTCACACCTTACTCCCTTTGCTTTGACTGAGGGTTTCCCTCCCTTCTTTGCATAAAGACATCAGATCTCACCAAGCTTCACCAGAAAAGCCTTTCCTGACCTACCAAAGGCAAGATCTCCTTATTATAGATACTCAAAGTTATCACTGACCTCTACTTTATCACTTCACAGCTGTAACTTCCCATGAACTTATCTGATTCTTCAAAAACATCTGTGCTCCCTTTCCTCCCACTAGACCCTGAACTCACACCTCCTCCGTCATTGTAACCTAGCAGGGCCTGGCACATAGTAGGTGCTCAAGAAAATTTGTTGGATAAGTTAACAGTATTTTATTATATATAAAAGATTGGCTTTGAGGGGTAGTGGTGGACGAGACAGATCAGTATTTGAAGATCTGGCGCTGAGGTAGGACCTATGGTGTGTAATTTTTTTTAAAGATGTTGAAAACCAATAAGATTATATGCTGCCCTCAGAGACTCTCAATACGGTCGGGGGAACCAGTCGATCGTTGGTTGCTGGTACCTGGTTTACACGCTTCCCCAGTAAGGAAATCAACCAGGGTAGACTTCTTAAAGATAGGACGAGCCCCAGGGAGGCGGGGAGGAGGGCCCCTGGGGCGATTAGGGAAGCGAGGGGCTGAGCCGGGGAGAGCGGGCCTAGGC